ATCCGTAATTGACAAACAACCTTTTCTTTCCTAAAAAAAACACGTGTCGAAGCATCCATTAATACAAATGAATTCAATCTGTTTACCAAAATATTCAAATACATCCATAAATGACAAATCACATGTCCAAATATTTTTTTCGACAAAACACATATCCAAAATGATAATTATAAATGAGGCTCAAAGAAGTTGAATTTATTCTCAAATATGCACACAATCACACATCAAAACACTAGGTTAGAGCTAGTTGTTTGTCACCCTGCCAAATGAACAAAAATTTCAAAAGATGACCGTTACATATCGAGTTCATACTTGATTTATTTTTCGGTACAGGGGATGGGTACCCGGGTCATTGCAACCCTAAAATGTAATGGGATCCACCATTATATTCACACTTCAAGCTTGAGAATCATAGTTTGAGATAATTTAATGTTTTCTCGTAGAGAGGATGATTTTGATGTGAATACGATCTCAATTAACGATTTTTAATAAAATAGTGAGACTAATGAATATAAATTAGGAGGCCGGCCTAGAGATTCCAAAATTTTTAGAGGACTTGAGTGTCTTAAATTTGTTTTTTTTTTTTTAAATGTCTTAAATTTGAAGCCCTTTTAAATTGGAGACCATAGACAATTGCCTAGGCCTAGAATCGGCCCTATAAATTAACACACCTAAGGAGCATGTTTGAGTGTTTTGTATTAAATCATATGTTGTGACTAGGGAAGGCAATTTACCCCGCTCCATTTTTAGTAATTTTGGGGGATCGTTTAGTTTATTTGGGTAGGAATGGTTTGATGTAATGAAAATTCGCATGAATTTAGTGCGGAGGTGGGGATGTCGTCCCGTCCCGCCCTGCATTAGATAGATAAACTGGAAAACAATGTAATTTGGCTTGTCTGGTTTTGGTATGTTAATACTTTTGTTACATTGGTATTATAAAATATTTTTAATGTTGAATTTTATGTTAAACTATTTATTATCTATTTTTTTTATGAGTCTTTTTAATAACTATTTTAGTTGATAAAAAAAAAAAAAAAAAAAAAGAAGTAAATGGAGGAGAATTTTTGGTCTTAAACGAATTGGGACGGATACTCGCGAGAATAAAAATGTTAAACGAGGGCAAAGATGGAGTGAAAAATCCTCCCATTTTTGTGATTTTAGACTAGAATAAAAATGAAATTTTTAAACAATTACGGAAACAAAAACAGGATGTACCCGTTCAAACCAGTCCCAGTTACCACCCTAGTTGAACCTCCAATTGAAGTTGAACCTATTTCACGAGTGTTTTGTGTTGGAGTACCCTCTCTCTTGTGAATCAAACATGAAAAATGGGACCCACCTTAAATAATACTCCGTATTTTGTTCGCAAAGTCACTCTTACCGAGAACCTCTTATCCTTTCACATGCAAAGAAAATCTCCCTCTCTCTCTCCATATCTATATCTTGTAATATAATATATATCATCACCCTACAACTCCCCCAGCTGTCCACAACAAAAATCATATATTAACCTTCCCAAATAAAATAAAATAAATAAAGTCGTGTATTATTAGTATTACACATTATTCTATATAAACAATTAAAAATTAATCATTAAACAAAACTAAACTCAATGGTGGAAGTCCTAATTTAATAATGCAAAATCTTGATTTTTTCATAAGCAATCACTAATTCACTTAAAAAATAATAATAATAATAATAATTAAATAATAACGATTGTCTTATTTTATTTTCAAAAGAGCCCACCACGAGACCACCACCACCTCATCAAAATAAAATAAAATAGTTCAAAATTTAGGATACTCCCAAAAACAAGGGATTATTCCATGGTCGCGGGACCATGGAATAACTCCCCGTTTGAAACAGGTGTTGGAACCCTATTAAACACGCAGTCCAAATAGGAAAATAACAAGATAGAGTGGGAGTTGAAGGAGACGTGGACAACTTGATATATATCAACTTTGTTTTACTAGGGGAACTATTCTATTTAATGAAAAAATATATATTATTTGCACCCGTTGTAGGGTTCAACGGGTGAATTTAACCGTCATGAACGTTCCGAATGCTCTAATTGCAATCAAAGAAAAAATTTTATTATTAAATTTTTTTTTATCAATATTGTAGATGATCTAATTAAGTTACACCCTTTTTATCTTGTAAAAACAAAAAAAAAAACACTTAATTATTACTTATTATTATTATTTTGGTTATAATATTTAATATTCCTTGAAATAGACTTATTACTGTACAATAAGTGTAAATCTAAAAACAAAGTGCAAAAACCTTCTGAAGTTTTATCAAGTGAGCGTAAAATCTGCTGTGGTTAAAAGTGAGTAAATTAGTCCTTATAATTTTAAAAGGGAATATTTTGCCCCTTACATTTTCCTCTAACCACTTTCCGTCAAATGTCATTGTGCATTTACCAAATTATCCTCTATAATTAATTTTTTTAAAAATATATATAAAAGATAAAATATTTTAAATGCCCTCTAAAATAAACTTGTACATTATATAATTATAAAGTGTGTAACTTCTCATTTGGGCCTTTGCATTACTTTGACCTGGGCTTTCCTCCTTGTTCATGGCTGGGTTCAATAGAGAGCGAAAAGAGTAAATCAGTTGTGAGTTTTTGTATGTGGACTATGTAATAATGTGTGTGTATATATATATATATATATATATATATATACGTGTGCCATAATTTATATTTGGGTTATGTGATCTTCCCTAATCCAAACAAATTGGAACTTGCAAAATAATATTTAGATTGGATGAGATCGGTGGTTGAACTCAATATTTTTGTTCCATTACATTTTCCATATTTAACCTGTTTTTAATTTATATTGCTTTTATAATCAAAATTCATTGGTTGGTTGTTGAATCAAACGGGGTCTCAATCAAACTCTGTCTATTTCATGTTCTGTTTAGCACGTTATTGAATAACTTAATAAATTAACATATCAAGGGTGCAAATAAAAAAATAAAAATAAATAAAAAAAAAGTTTCTTTAATGATAATGATGACAAAGTAGTATGTATTCATAATCATACTGAAGGCATACGTGGCATAAATTGTGAAATTCATAATTTTTTATTCTTAGCTTGCTAGTTACAATCTTATGATTGAGTCTTAGAAAAATGTTATCAACTTTAAAAAAGACAAGCTTGAGTAGATTACACTAATCTTTTAAAACTAAACAAAAGCAAACAAATTAACAAGTTAAAACTTAGCTCTCTTCCTTTACTCGAACTCCTGTAAAAAATAAAAAGGTAAAAGTACAATGACATTTCTTGAGCTTTGTTATATGAATAATTACATACAAGTTTGTTATTTTTTTTAGATAATGACATGTCAAAATTGTCATTCAAACAAGGTCTTAAATAGTTCAAAAAGATAAAATTGTCCCTTAATATTAAAATCAATTTTATTGTAAAAATACCAAACATGTTGAAATGTTGAGATTACCCTTGAGTTAATATGAGTCACAAAATGACGCTAATTTATTGTGATGAAATTCATTATTTTCTCTAAGGTATTATAATATTCCGATTGATATGAAATGTTTACCAAAGGTTCCACCGAATGCCTAGTTAATCTCTGAAAAATTTCGTACTTTTTGGCCAAACTGATATGCTTATAAAAATTTGACAGCAACTGCTGTCTGGATTTTCCAATGTTTGAAATCAAATTTTTAATTGATTTATTTGACAACATTCTCGACATCGGATCATCACCAAAATTTTCAGGTTTATACTTCCATAAGTCTACTTTGCAAAACATTTTCGTTTACTCCGTTTCGATTTTAAACGAATTTTCTATGAAATTTTCTATGAAATTTTTTCCTTTAATTTAGCACTTCAACTTTTTGCATCAAATGTTAATGACGGATATATTGGTTCAATTCATTAAGTTATAAACTTAATAAAGTCTATTAAACGGTCAAAGAGTAAGTTGATCAATTTTCCTGTGTCGTGTGGCAAATGGCTACAAAACACGTCTTTGTCAACTTTTTCAAACTTCGAGAGTGTCATTATCCAAAAAAGTTACCAATTTGTATATGACTATCAATATCACAAATCTCATGGGAATGTCATTGTACTTTATAAAAAATAAAAATAGGAATAAGACTCCTTGTAACATTCTCTCGAACTCGCAACGCTTATCTGGTTAAGCTCACTCAAACGTTATCCGAAACGGGCGCCAGGCATGATAACGGATCAAGAATTGGGTTGAATTTTGATACCAATTGTAATAAGTAGATGCTTCACGATCTAATCTACAAAATTAAATTATTAAGGAAAACTAACATCCAACTCATATATACTGAATAATTTCACTTTCCATTCGGATCAGTTATTGGACAAGATTTTTCTTGTAATACCTTTGGTTTTTTTTTTTTTTTTATTATTATTATAATTCAAGTTAATTCTGCCTTTATTTTGGTAGCTTCACTTTTCTGATCCCGAAATAAGTAAAGAAATGTCCAATTAATAAACCTGAAAATAGTCTTAGGCTCATCACTTCAATGCCAACAGCTGAAGTAAACTATTCAACTTGAAAGTAACAATAATGGAGTCGTGGAATAAAATTTTGTCAAAGCAACAATAATTGATTGCAAAAGTACAGTGCTGTCATCAAAATTGATTTTAAATAAGTAGGCCATTTGACACGAAATCAGTTTGGATATTTACCTGGCCCACATGATGTCAATGTCAAAATTAAAAACATAGGTCCCATCCCATTAATTGATTCCTTGGGTCAATTAATAAATTTTGTAGTTCCAATGTGATACTAAAAAAATAAGGCAAAATAAATTGAATGGGATCCGCATAAACATTTTGTAACCGGATATTCTTTTAATGAAATTTCATGAAGGAATATATATATATTTTTTTCCCACCAAACACATCAGGAAGGAATTCTGTGTCTAAAACACAAGTCATAATTATGTCAAGTTTTCACCATACCAGCAAAAACATTCCCCAAAACAGAAACAAAAATTGTAACCACAAACAAGGCACTAAGTATTCTACATAAAAATGTATATACATAAAACCAAAGAATATATACTAGTATACTTGGGGCATACCCCAAGGGCAGAAAACAAGCCAAAAACAAAAACAAAATAAAACAAGGCCCAAATGTTGGGTTGATTTTGCGGTACCCAACCCATACAACCAAAAGCCCAATCAGAAATTGGTAACCAAAAACTTTTGTAAAAACAAGTCAAAGCCCATGTCCTTGAAGCAATAATAACCAGCAAAAATCAGAGGGCTAGGATGGAAATCAACAATCTGAATGCATCTCCCATAAGATTGGTTATGTTGGTGGGGAGGTGGTGGTGGAGTGGTGGCAAATGAGGAGGAGGGGTTAGATTATGATGGTTCAAAGAAGGAGCTAAGAAGGTTGCATTCATTGGCAATGGTCTCTGCAAATGGGCACCGACATTTCTTGACCGAAAAAAGCTTCAATCTCACAGCATTGATCACTGCATTCCAGGTCTGTAATGGAGGTACCGACTTGTTCAGGAATATTCTGTTATTTCCTTCTCTCCATACATGGTAGACATTTCTTGCCAGTGCCTTCCACGTCAAAATTCTACTATATTTTAAATTCAGCCTCCAATTTGAGGGTGCCCAAAAAGGGGTGCAAGTTGGACGAGTTAGCCCAGCCCAACTCGAGATTCGGTAGTTTAATTTATTACCCTAGTTCTGATTTTCAATCCCAGTTCATAGATTTGATAGATCATGTCAAGAGTTTTTAATATAACTCTGATAATAACAGTGTAAAGCAGAGTTCTAATTTTGGGGTTTGGTCCTATATTTTCAAGATTCAGATGGTAACGTCAAAAGGGATGAGGATAAAATCTTGAGAAGAAGTGGCCTTCAGCCTTTTTTTGTATAACCAAAATGAATTTGAGGACTTGTAACACAAGTGAAATCATAGACATCTCATACAAAAATGGAGTCTGCTCAAAGGCCCGGGCTTGATAATTAGGAAGAACTACATAATAGAATTCTGAGAGCAAATACATCAGATGATAAATTTGGCCTTACATGAATTTTTTGCCTACATAATCTATGGATTTAAAAAATAAAGAATATGTTTACATGAATGATCTAGTACGAGATTAATTTTTCCCCAGTTTGACAAAAGCAAACCACAATTCGGACTCAACTCGGAACGACCATACTTTCAACACTGTGTCTTCTTGAAGTCTATTCCTCGACACAACCGAGTTCCAATCCAAGAGCAATGAGCTAACTCTGCCCATTTCTTTCTTCGGCATGTCCCGCCCTCTTGATTGTCAAGTAACATTGCTCCTCACCGGAGGGTTCAATCAGAGGCACGTATTCCAGGCAACTTTCCATTGCATTCAAATTCAATGGATTTGGAGTTGAGAAAGTGTTTCTCTTCTGGTGTGAGGAACTCAGGATTCTTGATGAGGCTGAATGGCAACAACAAACGTCCCTGGCTTGATGTCGGTGTTGGTAAGCCTCTTCCGTGCTACAAACATTGGCTTTGAACCCTCAACTTGTCGGATTCAATTCATGAAGTTTTCAGGCGTGAGTAGTCATGATCAAGAGGAGGAAACACCATTTTCTTCATTACTGCCTTCTTTTCTTTTTTTCCTTTACTGTTATTGTTGCTTCTTGTTGTGGTTGGTGACCACAACGATGATGATAATTAAAACAACATTGATGGTAAGTTCTTAAACATTCACCGTCTTCGAATATGTTATACATATTATATTGTCTATGACTCAAATATTTACGGAAGTCTCTTTTGCATCTTGGTACAATAACTTTGTTGTCTTAATCAAGATTTTGAACTGTCTTCAACAAGACTCCGTCCTCCATCAAATCACCAAAAAGAGGATATGCAACCAAATACCGAACATTTTCCATCTTTTTCTTCAATTTCAACTTCATGGTAAAAACATCATGTGTATTAACAATAATCATCATTTTTTGAGAGAACTTTAATATGGAAAAAGTGAGATCGAGAAGGGAATGAATGACCGATGATGGCTAATTGTGATAACAATAGTAATTATATATAGAAATAAGGTTTGTGATAGATCTGGGAATATATGTATAGAGGTCGGCCGACTTTCTTGTTAAGCAATCAAATAATCAACCAAATCCCACTTGAAATCTAACTATCGCTGTGAAATTAATGAACTACGTAACTTGATCGAAGAGAGATTTTTTAATGATTCAGGAATGAGGGATCACAATTATTTTAAATCCTATTAGATTTGAAATATGATTAATTTACTTAATTAACAAGAAATATATATATATATATATATATATATGGGTTATTTTCTTGTTAACCAAGCTAATTAATCTTATTTTAAATCTAATAATGTGTAATTAATGAAGTAAGGATTCTTATAACTTGATGAAAGAGAGATTTTATTTTAATAGAACTAAAATGCGTTTCTTGGGATTTATTAATTTTGTAGATTTTGGTATGTAAAATGAGTAAGCCAATTATACAAAATTCTCCTTAAAGTAGAAAAACTAGTAAATACAATGGATACTAACTAATCAAAATAGTAAACATTTAATCTTATTACCACCCTCATTTACTTGTAACTCGTGGACATTTTTTTACATGAAAGGATAAATGGAAAATTTACACTAAGGGTCGTGATAGATGGGCCGATGACTTTAGCAGATTTGTTTGGCAAAACACGTGTGGTAGTCCACATAAGTAATTTTAATAATTAAAAAATAAATAAATAAAAGGAGAAAGAATATACGGCGGATTCATCTTCCCGTGATGGAAGATCGGCGGCGATGAACTGGACTTGTTGTGATGGAACGCCAGTAAAACTCAATAGAGACGAGAGTAACAGAAAAGATTACCAGTGACGGTGCATAACTGGTTTGGCGACAACGAACTGGTATGGCGACAACGATGAGAACGAACAACGGGCCGCATCAGAAAGATGGAATCCAGCAGAGAGAATAACAGGTCGCTGGCGTAGGCACGTGCTGGTTCGGTGAGAGTGCGGGACTGAGACGAGATCCGGTAGAGAGGATAGGTCACCGGAGAAGGACTGAGCAGATATCTGCAGAGACGTTTCATGAACAGTCTGGCGGAATAAACAAGAACCGACAGTGAGCTTGGAACGGAGGACTGAATAAGAACCGAATGGCGGCGTCGAGCCAGCGATGGTGCAAGGATGCACGGTTGATGGCAAGCTGGCGGTGAAAGAAGAGTAATTTTCCCCAACAGTGTACCCATATTTTGAAAGGGTACTTTTGTCTAACTTATATAAATACTAACACTAATTGTTTTTGACAGTTGGAGTGCCGCATAAATTCTGCCAAAGTAACCGGCCAAATTCATCGGTGTAAATATCATTTTCCTTTACACTAATCAACTTCCTCTAAGTTTATCATAATTACACTAATTTTCTCTATAATTTCGAATATTATTTTGACTTCTTCTAAAAATACAAATCTTTTAACATTTAATCTTATTAATTTTTCTACATGAAAGAATAAATGGACAATTTACAGTAATCAACTTCCTCTAAAATTTATCATAATTACACTAATTTTTTCTATAATTTCAAATATTACTCTGACTGCTTCTAAAAAACAAATCTTTTAACATGAACCTCCCTTTTTTAACTCAACTACCAAAATTGTTGATGTCATGTACTTAATATTCTTAATTAAAATTCAAGTATTACCCTTTGTTAAAGTGAAAAAAACGATCAATTACAAAATACTCATCTCTCCAACTATATTTACACCCATTTTAATATTCAGCACACTCTTTCAATTGATTCCCTCAACTTATTCAATATATGAAGCATATAACTTAAGGAAAAAGGTCATCGAAAAAAAAAAAACTTGAGTAAGATGATGATGCATCCCCCAATGTGTCGGCTAGCTGTCGGAACTTGCAGTGAAAAATCATGCGACATGCTGGCTAGTGTGCGCCTTAGGCATGTTCTCACTAAAGAGTGACAAAGTACCTGGGCCAGATGGCTTCAATGCTTTCTTTTTAAAAAAAACTTGGCCTAATGGAGAATTTTTTTCTCACTGGGAAATTACTTAAGCAAGTCAACTCAACTTACATCTCACTTGTTCCCAAAGGACTTAACCCCTCTGCTATGAATGATTTTAGGTCCATCTTACTACTCTACCATTTACAAATGCATCTCTAAACTTTTGGCCAATAAGCACAAGCCCACAGTCCCTCACATAATTGGTCCTTCCCAATTTGCTTTCATTCAAGGAATAGTAATTAATGATACTGTTCTATTAGCACAAGAACACCTAACTGGCTACCATAGACAAGGCAACTCCCCAAGGCTTACCCTCAAAATTGACCTCAAAAAATCCTTTGATTCAGTTTCATGGGATTTCCCCCAACCGACATTTCCTGGATCAAGGGTGATCCATTATCACCATCTGAATTCCCCCTCATTCACCATCTGAATCAGGGTGATCCATTATCACCCTTTCTCTTTGTTATTGTTATGCAAGTATTCTCATAAATTGTAAGCAAACTCTCTAGATGGCATTTCAAATACCATTGGAGGTGTAAAGACTTGACATGAACACACCTTATTTTTGCTTTTTTGCTGATGATTTAATGTTTTTCTCTCATGCTAGCTTACCCTCAATACAAACACTTAAGCTTGTTATAGATACTTTCTCCTCCCTTTTAGGTCTGCAAGCCAACTCTTCCAAAAGTCTCATCTTCCTTTCAAGAGTCGATGAATCTACAGAGTGCTCATTTCTCTCTTATTTGGGAGTCGACAAAGGTGAACTACCTGTAAGATACTTGGGGGTACCATTCATTAACTCCACGTTAAAATCCACTGATTGCAGGATTTTAATTGACAAAGTCACAGCTAGGATTGCCCACTGAACAAGGAGAGACCAATCATTTGCAGGCATATACATTTGGAGTTCTAATTTTATCCTTCCCCAAAGCATTATCAATGAATTAAATATAACCTTCAAAGCCTTCCTATGGTCTGACCCTAGTTAAAAAAATATACATACAGAGGTAACAATTCGGTAGTTTAATTTATTACAATTTGGTTAACAAGATAGCAACCTATATAACTAAGTAACTTGATTGAATTTTTTTTTTTTTTTTTTTTTAATTATATATATATATATATATATCCCTCATCCCTGAATAATTAAAAAATCTTTCTTCAATGAACTAAGTAATTTATATATCCCTCATCCCTGCATAATTAAAAAATCTTTCTTCAATCAAGTTACTTAGTTCATTAATAATTAAATTTTAATTAAATTTTAGAAGAGATTTACTTGATTGCTTAACAAAAAAGTCGACCTACCCATATACATATATTTCCAAATCTATAACAAACCATATTTCTATATATATCTACTATTGTGATCACAATTAGCCATTATCGATCATTGTCCTTCTCGATCTCACTTTCTCCATATTAAAGTTCTCTCTCTAAAAATGGTGATTCCCGTTAATACACATGATATTCCTACCATAAAGTTGAAATTGATGATAAAGAAGAATAAGGAAAATGTTCGGTAATTTGCTGCATACCTTCTTTTTGATGATTTGATGGAGGCCAAAGTCTTGCTAAAAGCAGTTCAAAATCTTGATCAAGACAACAAAGGTATGTCACCAAGGTGCATTAGGGACTTCTGTGAATGTTTAGGTCATATACAATATGATATATATAACATATCTGAAGACGGTGAATGTTCAAGAATCTACCATCAATGTTGTTTTGATCATCATCATCATTGTGGTCATCAACCACAAGAAGAAGAAGAAGAAGAAGAAGAAGCAGTTCAGGAAAAGAAGAAGAAGAAGGCAGTAGTGAAGAAGATGGTATTGCCTCGTCCCGATCATGACTACTCACAAGTGCCTCCAGATTTGCTTGAAATCTTTAAGAATCGAATCCTACAAGTCAAGGGTTCGGAGCCAATGTTTGTGGTACAAAAGAGGCTTACCAAAACCGACATAAACTCATGGCAGGGACGTTTGTTGTTGCCGTTCAATCTCATCAAGAATCCTGAGTTTCTCACACCGAAAGAGAAACACTTTCTCAACTCTAAATCTATTGAATCTAAATGCAATGGAAAGTTGCCCGGAAACCGGTGCCTCTGATTGGAATCCTCCGATGAGGAGCAATGTTACTTGACAATCATGCCCAAGAAAGAAGTGGGCAGAGTCATCTCGTCGTACTCGTTGGTCTCGGGCTGGAACTCGGTTGTGTCGAGGAATAGGCTTCAAGAAGACACGGTGTTGCAAGTACGGTCGTTCCGAGTTGAGTCTGAATTGTGGTTTGCTTTTGTCAAACTGGGACAAAATTAATCTAGTACTTGATCATTCATGTACATTCTTTATTTTTGAAATCCATAGATTCTGCAGGCAAAAAATTCATGCAAGGCCAAATTTATCATCTGATGTATTTGCTCTCAGAATTCTATTATGAAGTTCTTCCTAATTATCAAGCGTGGGCCTTTGAGTAGACACCATCTTTGTATGAGATATCTATGATTTCACTTGTGTTATAAGTACCATATGAATCTTGAAAATATAGGACCAAACCCAATTTTCAGCAAAAACTCCATAATTAGAACTAAAAAAATTACTCTGCTTTACACTGTCATTATCAGAGTTATATTGAAAACTATCGACATGATCAATCAAAACTATAAACTGGGATTGAAAATCAGAACTAGGGCAATACTTTCGCTGCTTCTTTTCTTTTCTTTTTCTTTTTCCTTTTTTTTTTTTTCCCTTGTATTCTCTCTCCTGGGTGGTTCTTTTCTTCTTTTTTTTCCTTGTGATACATCTCTCACTTTATTCTTCCTTCAAATTTTATTTTATTGTATAAAATAAATGACTAACAATTAATTAAAATTTTGGTTCAGAACTCCTTTTTTTAAATATATGTAATTAATATTGTTGAGTAAGTTGTATAGTGACTTTTTTCAAAATAAATTAAAAAATATATATTGCAACTCTTGAAATCAAAAAATTAATTATTATTGTTGATTAAGTTGTATCGTGACTTTTCCCTAAGGGAAAAAAAAAATTGTAATGCTTGAAATAAAAAAATTAATGAAAGAACAAATTATTAATTTTTTTTTTTTAGCCGTGGATGGTAGGAAAGTTAAAAAAATAAAAATACAAAAAAAAAGGGGGCTGAATGGGTTAAGCCCATTTTGACCAGCCCATTTGAGCCCTTACCCATTTATGACCCACTATTGGTTGGTTAAGAATGGGATACTGACCCATTCATACCCAACCCATTCCAAACCCACCCAATTGCTGCCCACCCCTCCAGAAGACGGACCAACTCACATAAGTTGGCAGTTCTATACTGCTAGTTTCCTTATGATAAGTTTTCCTTTCATAGCTTCCTACTCGTCAATATATGTTGTACAATTGAACTACAGTGATTCCTTTTAAAACACTCATCTTAAGTGGAACCTCATTTAAAGATGTTTAGACTTTAATCTATGTTCACCTCTCATAAAGTATAAGGTAAATTGCACAGAAATTTCCACAGTATAAAAGAAATCTAGAGATATGTGACAATGATATGCATTAGACTAGTCAGCATTCAAGTAAAAGAGAAAGTTAAAACACTTCAAAGAAAAAGAAAACGTGTTTCAATGCTAAACAAACAGATAGGAATTGTGTGATCAAGCCAATTCCCATAAACAGATAGAAATTGATTGTTAATTGACCATCTTTGCTCATTCATTTTGTTGGTAACTGGATTGTTTCTCAAAACAAGTCATGACTCATTTACTTATGCAACCAAATAAAGGGATTCCTTGTATCATTGAAAAAGGAAAAATCAAAAATCAAAAATCAAAAATCAAGCCTCTACATGTTGATAAATTCAATGAGGTTCACTCTATATATCACAACATTTAAATGTTTACATTTGTAAACAAATAATATTTAAAGTATACAACCTTATGTAATCAAAGAAAAATCACACATCCACACTTGTTAAACCTTTAGTAATGAGACATAATATCGAATGAAATGGCTAAGACATAATTGACCAGTTGAAACCATAACTTCATTAGGCTACCTTATAAGAATCATCATGTTTAACTCATGTTTCAACACAGTAATAAAAAATTGGATAATAAATTTCTACATCTTGATTTAGTGGAAGTATGATATATTATATTCGATATCAACGTCAACATTGAAATTTAGGTAGGACTGGGACATGAATAGCAAATTGTCCCTTTTTTTTTTGTCAATGATCATGCATAGTGTACCCCATGAAAGCTAGAGTTATTGAGGGGGTAAAAACACATTAATGTCGTGGTCACCATCTTAAATTTTATTGGCATCTCATGAAATTTCAATAAATGTATCATCTTATGGAATATAACAAAAAACAAAAGAGGCGAGTTATTTCCTCCTAATACTTTACTTGATTTACTACATAAAACGAAAGAGGGAATTTTGGTCTTTAAAAGTGACTAAGCAATGGAAGTTCAGATAGGTGCAATCATCTTTTCTAACTTATCAAGCATAAAATTCACTTTGACCTTCAAAAATTCATAATACATTGTCTGTGTTCTCCTGATTTTATCTCTCCAACTTGAGAAAATCTTTGAATATTTATAATTTGAGTTGGGAGTTTTTGTTCTTTTAATAAAATCTTTTGCTTAATTCAATAATTAGCAGCAAAAATCAAATAAATAAAATCACAAAAAAGGGAAAGGGTATAGCACAATGATTATAAAGAAACAGACATAGAAGTAATGCGTTATTTTAATTTAGTATTTAGCACTCTAACATAATACGTCTGCAACTTCGATCGAATCAAAAAACCAAACACAATAAAAAAAAATTCTAAATATAAAAAACCTAGACCGAAAAAAAAATCCCTAAAAAAAATTCCTTAATAAAACAATAAGTATAAAGCTAAATATAGACTTGGTTTGTGGCCGACACTATACTTTCACTCCTACAAATGGATCAACAAATTGCATTTGTCCACAATACTGCCTGCAATACTGTTTGTAGTTTTGGTTGAACGGACATGATACAAAAGAATCACATCTCATACATGAGACTCATTGAAAAGTTTGATGAAATTTCTTTTAAGCAAGGGTTATAGTTTAATTTGTCAAAAAAAAACAAAGAAGGCTTGATTAATTAATGCAAATGATGTACTTAATATTTTCAAATACACGAGAAAGAACACATATATGTAACATCCTTAATTAACAAAAGAAATGTCCCAAAAACATACCTATATCTTTCTGATTCTACTCATTCCATTGTGCTTTTTTCTCATCCCAACAAGTAAAGAATTTGAAATATTCATGTTAGTAGTTGAGGTATTTTTATTCATGACTTAAGCTAGCATATCACGATCATAAGGATATATAACATAGTAATAACAAGAAGAACCATAAAGATAAAGAACTTGCTCAAGAGTACATAAAATTGGAAAAACAAACATGTATTTAGAAGATCATGAATGGTAGTGAAATTAACTACCTGAGGACTGAGGAGACATATCGAGAAGAGAGGCGGCTGCGAAGATTAGGGTTTGCAGTAGAGTTTTATACAGCCCTATATAAAAACCACAGTATAAAAGTCACATATTATACATAGAATACTGAGAGAGCGAATCGAAGAGTTCTCACCGGAGCTCTGGATTGCACAGATCTACAAATACAGGACAAGTGTCAGCTAGGGTTTCATTTCAAAAAGGTGTGAAGATGAATATTAACATGTAGATCTACAAATTAATAGTGATATTCTGAGAAAAGCATACAATAAGAGGGCTTGGAGAGGGGAAAAAAAAAAAAAACACAGAGAGAAAAAGGTTTCGAGCTTTACCAGAGAGAGCTTCACTGATCGAATAGAAGAAAAGGGCTTCGTCGGAGCTAGCAGGTTTCGGTAATGGCGTCTACTAGCGAGCGCGATTTTCTTCTTGGATGTCGACAGGTTCATCGTTCGCGGCACTGATCGGAGAAGCTCGACGGCCAGAACCACTGATGGTTTTTTTTAGAATGGGTTGCGGCTGATTTTGTTATTCGTATATACAGTAAGGTGTATTTTTGTACTCCGTATATACCATAAATGAAAAGGGTAAAGTGGTAATAATATATGGGAATTCTAAGGTAAAGTGATAGTAACAAAAGTATATTACACATGTAGTTTACATATTTACATGTACATGAATTAAGTTCTATTTTAACTCTTTAGTAAGCTAAAATTATATTTTTGCTCCTAAAATTTAGTTTATACACAATTTACCTAAAAAAATACTTATACAAGTTTTAGAATTTTATCAAACAGAACTGCTACTTCACACTAGAATTAGGAGAATTAGGAGATACAACACGTAGCCTACAACGAAGAATAGAAGAACTTAGATTTAGAATTACATTAACACAAAATATTTTGGAAGCTAGACGGCAACGATTTTAGTTTATGAATATAATAAACTTTAATAATTTAGATAACTCTATAAAACGATTAGGAAAAAATCTTGATTATATTAAAGAACAAGTAGTACAGAATTCTAAGCCAAATAATTTAGATAATAAAATAATATTAGTAGTCATTAAAGATATAAATAACAATATTAAAAATATTTCTGAAAATCTAAAAATTATTATAGATTATTTAAAATCTCTTAAAACCAATATTCAAAAGCTATTACAATAGTTTTATGAGCACCAGTAATTCTGATTATTTAACAGCTTTAGCCGAACTTTATAAAATAGATAAAAAACCGATAGGATTTACAAGTTTTAAAACAGACGTACAATCAACTAATATATATATATTAAACAAAACAATTTTTTAATCTAGTTATTACTCCAGTTATCTGAAAAAGTTAATAAAGTCGAAGAAAACTTAGAAGTAATACAAGAAAGTATTCTTAGAGAATCTTCTAAAGAATCATCTGATAAAATAAAGGAGATAAAATTATCAACCACTAATCAGTTCTCCCAGCCTAAAACCAAGCGTGTAAATTTATTACAACCTAATAAACAAATACCACAATGACCATTATTTTTAGAAAAGCCAAAGAAATAATGAGAGTAGAAGATTTATATGATAATGAAGAAGATGCCAAAAAATATATTGAACAAGGAATGAAGAAGGTAAAAAATAAAGTGAACATTTACTCTAATAATTTACTAGATTTTCAGAGTAAAATATACAATCATTTTAGCCAAAGAAGAATAAATGCTGTCAACAATCAAGTTATCTTAGATCTTATGACACCAGAGACTTGTCAAGAGTTAAATAATAATAATTTAGAACTTATGCATTTAGGTGTCATAATGATAGAATTAATAAGATTAAATAGAGCACAAATAGGAACCAGAGCACTTGCTTGTATTTATGATGATCGATGGAATAATCATCAACAAGCACAAATTGCTAGCGCTGAAATAGATTTAGCAGCCAATGCAGCCATCATAGAATGTATACCCAATTATGCGATGACTACTAGAGAATTCAGTAAACATATTAAAATAGCTATATCTACCAAAGGATATAATATGACAGGACAGTTTGAAAACCTATAAGTCAATACTTTATTTATGGGAAAAGTAGTTAATCAATATAACTTAAAATTTAAAACCCAATTTAGTGAATTAGTTAAACCTTTTAGTAACAAATATGTTCAAATGATCGAAGTTAGAAAAGTAAGCAGTATTACCCATGAAGGAACAGAATGAAAATTACATAATCTCACCACTATAATTAAAAAGACCCCTGAAAGTAATATGATATATGTAACAAATAGTGGAGAAGCTAACATACGGTTTAGTAATTATAAAAGACAAGATAATTTAGACGATAATACCCAAGAAGAATTTTTAACCACACTTATAGAAATTGAATCCCCTGAAGAAATAAATGTTCTTTATGATAGATTAGAAGATGAAATCTTAGATAAAATAATGCATGACTTTGATAATCTTGAATTAGAATATTTGAAAGAGAAATATCCTGAGCCAAATTATCAACTCATAGAAAGCTTCTATCTAGGCGAAGGAAATAGTGATGATATTAAGAAAAATATATTCAAAGTAGGTTTCAAATCATTTTGCACGAAACACGAACTAAACACACTAAAAGAAAATTAAATGTTAATGAAGAACAAGTAGAGCATATAGAAGGAAAAGAACCAGCAGGATCTTCATCTCAACCTACAGGATCTGTAGATCAAGAAATATATAATGCAACTAGTAGCACTAATAGAACAAATGATGAATATCTCACAAGACAAAGACTTCAACCTATACAAGAAACATATGTTGAAAACAGAAATATACCAGATATGTATACTTGGACACCACAACGTAGACGCAATGATAATATTCCAGCACATGACACAGGAACCATATTAGACATATCACGCCACGATCCCCAAGATTGGTCAAGAGTAATCGATGATTGGGAACAAAATTGTATTAGAATAACTATTCTAGCACGATTCGATAATAGAACACAAGTATTAACTTATTATGAAACTCTATTAAGAGGCACCGTTCAATCCTGGTGGCAATCTTATAAAGTTAATTATGTTAATGATTACAATATCTTAAAAGATAATTTTACAATTCAACAATTTACTAGTTTAATCAAACGTGTATTATTAGGTGAAGATAGATTATTAGAAGAAACTTAAATCAAGCAAAATAAAGCCTTGCGCAACCTAGAGTTATTACAAATTTGTGACTTTCGATACATAAGAGACTACACTAATAAGTTTTTTGAATATTTCGCCGCTACAGAAAAACCAGAGATTTAACCTTATTAGATAGATACCTTCAGAAATTACCAGGAAGCGTAGGAACTAAGATTTGGAAAAAATGATTAGAAAATCCTCGAAGAGATAGATTAACTATAGGAGATAAAGTTAACCATGTCTATGACATGTTAAAAAAGGAATGTAGATAACGTAGAGAATCCAAGCAAATTAAGAGATAATTTTTCGATGTATGTAAATAATTAGACTTTCCTCCACAATATGGTTGCATACCTCCGAAAACTTTTAAACGAAATAAATCAGGAAAATACAAATTACGAAAAAGTAGAACCTATAAAAACTATAATAAAAAGCCATATTTTAAGAATTTTAAAAGCAACCCTAAATCATTTAGAAAGCGCCATTGGTATAAAAAACGAAAAATAATCAAAGATAAAAAAGATAATAAGGATAATAAAGATAGCAAAGTAACTACATTGCCCATAAAAGAACAAAGTTGCAAATGTTTTATTTATGGAGATCCAAGTCATATATGACCAAATTGTCCTTATAGATATAAGCAAAACCTTATTAAGCAAATACAAGAAAAAATCAATATACTTGAAGATATTGAGGAATAAATAGAAGAATTATATGAATTAGAAAACGTTTATGATTCTGATGACGATAATGAAAGCATATATAGTATAGAAAGTATTGATAGTGAAGCTGATGAAGATATTGAACAAGGACTTCATTCTATGGAAGATTATATTTGCACTATAAGCAATTCTTCGTGTCATTATGAGTTAGTTAAATTTCATTTCTTTTATTACAACTGTAAACAATGTAACTCTTCCATTAAAGAAGATATTATTGTAAAGACCATTGTAAAAATCCATTATGTCTCGACTGTTATAATAAATATGAAAATAAGTTAGAAAATACATTAGTTGAATCCATAAATTCAATATATAAACCATATAGTTTAATCCAATTTTCTGTAACATTGGAATTTAAAGAAAAAGTAGTCTAAACTTCAGCTATGTTAGATACTGGAGCTTCTAAAAGTATAATAAAAAGACATTTAGGACCAGAGGAAACATTAATAAAATAAAATTATAATGTTAATATTAGTCAATATAATAATGAAAAATTGCCAATAACTCATTGTGTCCAAAATGTTCCTATAGTAATTAATAATGAGAAATTTGTTTTACCATAAACCTCTGTAGTTAATAATAGTCCTAGTACTTACGATTTTATTTTATGATTAAATTTTATAAATTCACTTACCGGAGGATGCAAGTATACTCCTACCGGATTACAGTTTTTAAGAAATGAACTTTTATTCCATCCAACTCTCCTTGTATTCCTTAGAAAGAAAAATGAGCAATTACTTATATCAATACGTTACCTATTACTGAATTACCTATGACCGAAGAAAAAACAGAAAATTTATTTGATGTAACAGAATTTGTAGAAGATGTTTCTGAAGTTCTAATGTTTCTTAGTCATTTAGATGAACCTAAGATTTTACTTAATGATAAAGCTATATTAAAAAAATCTAAATGAAACATTGATAATCTTATAAGACTAACTGAAACCACTGAAATTTTAGGAGATGATCCCCAGAAACACTAGTATAAAAATAAAATCGAAGCCAAATTAAATATTATTAAGAAGATTTTAGACTTTCCAGATAAATTAGAAGAAACTAAATTACTACAAGCATTTTTAGGATTATTAAATTATGGTCGCAATTTTTTTCCTAAGTTAGATTAGTTAATAGGACCCTTGTATTCAAAATTAGGTAAACATGGTCAAAAATATTTTAATACTCAAGACATAGAATTAGTAAAGAAAATTAAGTCTTTGGTCACTCAGTTAGAACCTTTACAACTCCCACTTGAAAATAATTATAAAATAATCCAGACAGATGCATCAACTCAAGGATGGGCAGGTTTACTTGTTCAAAGACCTACAAAAGAATCTTCACGAGATGAAGAACAAATTTGTCGCCATGCTAGCGGAACTTTTAATAAAGCACAATCCACTTTACCTTCAACAGATCTAGAAATTTTAGGAGCAACCAACTCTATTGAAAAATTTCAGATATTCCTTGATAAATAATTTTTTATAAGAACAGATTGTGATAACATAGTTAAATTTGCAAACAAAGCAAAGTAATAGCGGATGTCAGCAAAGAGATGGATTTCCTTTATTGACTGTATTACTGGAAGATGTTTTAAACCCATATTTGAACATGTCAAAGGAAAAGACAATTATTTAGCAGATATTCTATCTCGTTTACTAATTGATTGTTAATTTTG